TTTGCTTATGCACTTTTCTTTAACAAATATAAACTTGGCAATATTTATTTTTACTCAAGTCTTTGCTTTGCTTGTTGTTGTCTTCCGTCATTCGATATTGTTTTTGGGGTCAACATACCCCACCCGCAACAACTTGTCTGGAGTTGGGGTTTGTGAAGATACCGTAATGTCTGCCTAGAATAACGAAGAAATTACACTACAAATCAGGCATCAACTCTTTTGATGATATTTTTATGCTCCTTGTACATTGTGTTCAGGGAAAAATAAAACAGAATTTAAACTAAGAAATATTAACAAATATATTGACAGGTCATTTTACAAAAAGAAAACATGAGAAATGAAATGAAATGTGAAGAGTTCAAAGTGGCCTTCAGTGTCTGTAGTTGAGGTACCAACAGGCGACGAGATTTTGAAACATCAGGAGGCGGAAATCTAACAAGTTTCGATAGGAAGCTGCCAATTGGTTACCACAAATAGGAGAAACAATATATATGTTATGATACTAACGAGACATACGGTATTTATTACGCATACATATTTGTAGTCTTATAAAGGGTGTTTCCTTAAGACGGATCAAAGTCAGCAGCAAGTAAATCAGTGTTATTGGTGAAAATTTATTTATTTCTCTATTGGATTAAGTCATGGCAATTATGTGTGAAAAATAATATCGGCCAAATGTCCGCCAAGGCTTCGGCGGCACACCTTCAGTGGATGGTCAACATTTTTGATGACGTCTCTGCATAGTTGCCCCTCGATCTCACCAATATGCCTTATTATCTCATCCTTCAGCTGTTGAATTGTTGTTGGCTTGTTGGCATAGATCTTACTTTTGAGATGATCCCCAAAGGAAGAAATCTAAAGGGGTCAAGTCGCACGATCGTGGTGGCCAATTGATTTTGCTGTTTTGAGAGATAATGCGACCTGGGAAAATTTTTGTTTGAACGTCCATTTTCGTGATAGGCTTCGATAACTTTAACACGTTGTTTGATTGTTAATGTTTCCATGGTTGAAATTGCCAAAGACTTAAGTTGTTAAATCTGAAAGAAAAATAAAAAAAAATTAGACGCTTAAACTTAATTCACATTTAAAATCGGTCCAAGTTATAGAAGCACCCTTTATTGCATTTCTGAGGTTCGTAGTTACTAGTATCTCGTGACTGTTTGTTAAACTCCACCATACAGCTTGACATTGCAGTGCTATGACGCAGGGTGATTTCTGATGGCATCTTCTTAGGAAAAAAAAATGAGTCATAGCATATGGGAAATACGGTATCTATGGAAATAGAAACAAACTCTAAAAAAATCAGATATTTGATCAAGACGGCTAAGAAAGTTTTCTTAAAAAAGTTTCAGAAACAAATTTCAACTGTCCGTTCGCTTGGTTGTTTTGCAAATAAATAAGATTAAATAATGACATTTTTTGAAAACAGTTTAGATTCTTGTGTTTGTTACAGGCCACGGTGGCTAATGATCTATATAAAATGTTAATCAACAAATTATTAAAAGGATTGATGCGTGCAAAACAAAATACAAAGTGAAACGTATAAATTCTGACGAACTGAAAAGAAAGAGAAAAAGAAAGAAGTGACAAAAAGCTAACAAGGATGTTGGGTTTCTTCATTGGCCGACATTAACGTTAAACACGTGAATTGCAGGTAAATGAGGCGAGCAGACGAACAAGTTGACCAGCAGATAACGGCAGAAATATTTGAATGGAAGAAAGGGAAAGGGAGAACATGATCATCCTTGGTTAATTCGATTTTCATGGTTAACGAAGACGAGGCTTGTCGGGAGGAACGAGAAGTGACAGTTAGTGGGAAGAGATTCAAAAAGAAAAAGAAATGGTTTCTAGCATCAGGACAAATTTGCTTAGTTAAACGTTTCATGTTTGGAAATTAGTGTCGCATTATGCAGAAAAAAGAAGATAGAAAAATGAATGAGAGGGAGAGAGAGAGAAAAGGAAAGACGGGGAGAATGAATGAAAAGAAGTAAAAGTAAGAGAAAATGGAGGATGAGACGCAAAAAGAAAGAAAGAAAGAAAGAAAAAAAGGAATTGACATATTCTCCTTTTAGCATTCGCTTCATTTTTTAAATATTTTCATGCGTTATGATCACATTAAAATTTTCTTGTTCGTTTATTTCTCTACCATTCTTTATTTCTTTTTATTTGTTTGTTTGATTGTTTCTTTTTCTCTTTCTTTCTTTCTTTCTTTCTTTCTTTCTTTCTTTCTTTCTGTTTTTTTCTTATTTTTTTGTTTCTCTATCTTTACATTTTCTTTTGTTTGTGTCTTTCTTTTTTCCTTTCTTTCTTTCTTTCTTTCTTTTTTTCGTTTTTCTAGTAGTTCGGTCAATAATCTCTCTTTCTCGCCCTCTTTGTTCCTTCTGTCAGTCTTTAATTTTATTTGTATTTCTTTCGCTTCTCCTAATTCATACGGCAATCTTTCTTTCTTCCTTTCTTTCTTTCTTCCTTCCTTTCTTTCTTTCTTTCTTTCTTTCTTTCTTTCTTTCTTTTGTGTTTCTAGTAATTCGATCAGTAATCTCTCTTTCTCGCCTTCTTTGTCCCTTCTGTCAATCTTTAATTTCGTTTGTATTTCTTTCGCTTCTCCTAATTCATACGGCAATCTTTCTTTCTTTCTTTCTTTCTTTCTTTCTTTCTTTCTTTCTTTCTTTCTTTCTTGTTCCATTTCATTCTTTTCCTTTTCTCCTAATTCTGACTCTAATCTTTCTTTCTTTCTTTCTTTCTTTCTTTCTTTCTTGTTCCATTTCATTCTTTTCCTTTTCTCCTAATTCTGACTCTAATCTTTCTTTCTTTCTTTCTTTCTTTCTTTCTTTCTTTCTTTCTTTCTTGTTCCATTTCATTCTTTTCCTTTTCTCCTAATTCTGACTCTAATCTTTCTTTCTTTCTTTCTTTCTTTCTTTCTTTCTTTCTTTCTTTCTTTCTTTCTTTCTTTCTTTGCCGCCATAGACTTTTTATTTCTTCATCTTTCACTTTTGTTTCTTTACGCATCTTACTTTTTATCATTTTTCATTTTTCTTTCCGGCTTTCTTTTTTCTTCTTATTTTGATTTTCCTTCTTTTTTGGTTTGTTTGTTTGTTTCTTTTTTCGTTTCATTTTTACCTTTCTTTCCTCGTTACCTTTTACTTACTTTCCATTTTTGTTTGTAGTATTTTTTTTCTTACTTTATTTTTTTTTACTTACTTTTACTTCTGTATTTTATTTTCATTTTATTTTTCTATTTTTCCCTTCATTCATTCATTCATTCATTCTTTCTTTTTAATTTCACTTTTCTTTCTTTGTTTCTTTCATTTCTTTCTTTCGTTTTAAATTTTTCTTTACTTTCTTTTTCATTTCATTTCTTTCTTTTGTTCTTCAATTGTTTTCATTTCACCTTTTTTTTCTTTATTTCTTTTTTCTTCTTTCTTTCTTTTTAATTTTACTTTTATTTATTTTGTTTCCTTTTTTTCATTCATTTCATTTCTCCCTATCTTTTATTCCTTTTTAATTTTTCTTTTCTTTTCATTCGTTTATTTTTCTTCTTTCTTAATTTTACTTTTACTTACTTTTTGCTTTCTATCTTTTATTTTAACTTTTTCTTTCCTTGTCTTCTTTCTCTTTAATTTTACGCAGAATTTTGTTTCGTTTTTTTCTTTTTTCTTCGTTTCTTCATATTCATTCATTTCATTTGTTTGTTTGTTTTTTATTTATTTCTTTATCAAGCTTTTATTTAATATCCTTCTGTCATTCTTTTTTTTCTTTTCAATTATTTTCATTTTTTTCCATTTTTTTCTATCTTTCTTTCATTTTAATTATTATTATTTTCTTTCTTTCTTTCCGCCTTTCGTTTTCTTTTGAATTAATTTCTTTCCTTATTTCAATCTTTCATTCTTTCTTTCTGTCTTTCTTTCTTTCTTTCATTCTTTCTTTCTTTCACGTTTTCATTCATTCTTTCTTTCTTTCTTTCTTTCTTTCTTTCATTCTTTCTTTCTTTCTTTCTTTCATTCATTCTTTCTTTAATTCTTTCTTTCTTACTATTCTTTCTTTCTTTCTTTCATTCATTCTTTCATTCTTTCTTTCTTTCTTTCATTCATTATTTCTTTCTTTCATTCTTTCTTTTTTTCTTTCTTATACCATGTTTTTTCCATTTAATCTTTATCCATTCGTCGTAAGATTATCACTCTTTCTTTCCTTTCACACTTAAAAATGACTTCCCTTCATAAAACCTTGCAATAATTATAACACCAAACACGAATTTCAAAAAAAAAAAAAAAAAAAAAAATAAAAAAAATTAAAAAAAAAAAATAAATAAAGAAAATAAGTAAAGAAAATAAAAATACCTAATTCAATGTAACTCAATTCTGCACATTTTCAACAGCTTGATTTTCATTTAATTTTCGCCAAAACAAGATTTATTTAAAAAAAATCATAATTTAAATAATTTAAAACGTGTTTATGCAACCTTTGATATCACAGGTAGGATTAAACAGATGCTTGAAACTTTCATTTTCTCTATTGTTTCCATGAGATTACATTTAAATTACATTTGAACTCAGCAAACTTAGGAAAATTTTCAAGTTTTCGGTCTGTAATTAATTATTAATTTTTGTTAACCCAGTTTTCTTGGAGATTTTCTTTATAGACCAACTGACATTAGGGAAGTTTTTGATCATGAAAGAATAAGTTTTGAAATCGGAATTCCCTGAAAAATTATGAAGAAAAGGATTGTTGGTGGTCAGGAACTAATACAAGTATGCAATAGAATGATAATAATAATAATATTACCCGTTTCCTTATTCCTCGAGCAGCCAGTACTGTTGGTTGAAATTTATAAAATCTACTCTTCTGGAAAATAGTTTTCTGAAGTTCGGTAACTGTTATCAATATTTCTTGTATTAGGTTTCCTTCCTAACCTTTTGTTGGAAGTAGTGTGGAAGATCAGCGTCTTGGTTATGTCATCAATTTCTCTTCGAGTTACATGTGATATCCATTTTAATTTACTACGCTTACGGCCACATCACGTTGCAACACTAGTTCCCGTACGATCACCGAAGTTAAGCAACGTCGAAGTTAAGCAACGTTAGAAACTAGATGGGTGACCACTTGGGAATTCCAGGTGCTGTAAGCTTGGGTGTGCTGGTGGTGTAATGGATAATGGGTCAGAATTGTTAATCGGAGAGCCGTGTTCCAATTCCACAAGGATTCGTTATATTGTGGAGTTATCTCACTTGTTTTCCTAACAAAAAACAGTCGCTAGAGGACGCTTTCTGGACCCATAAATACACTGTAATATTTTCTATCATTCACTTTTCACTCGGTAAGATGTAAGTCGAATGCGGAGAAAAGCGCGCATGCGCTCCAGCTCGTTTTCCTATTTTTCGTAGACACTAAAGGATGTAGGTATATCGTGAAAACGCGTTTTCCATTCGGAAACACACACACAGCACACGTACATACGCAACTTAATATGCATTTTCTCTAAAACTTCAAAATTCACTGAACAGAAATTCACTAGTCTTTAAATTTTTTCATTTTTGTCACATACACTCAATATCATTGTCCTTGTCGCTCGCAACAATGCAGCATTTTGTCTTGTTATTAATACATAACCGTTCATTTATATATATATATATATATATATATATATTAATTTTAGTTGCTTCTTTGTATTTTATTGCCCGGATTCGCGTACCGAGTCCTATATTTTTGTTGTGGAATAAAGACTACAGGAGACATGTGTTTCCGAAACTCAAACACCATCGTATATACTCCCGTAACAATATCCGTTTACGCGCAAATACCCTTGAGAAATGTATAAGTCCACCTCTTCTATCTCCCATCTATGGGTTAATTAGTAAGACTTGTATCATTAAAACCTTATTATCTGCAAAAAATTCTGAAAATTTAAAAAAATATTTCTCTGGCTATAAAAAAGCTGAAAATGGTTGATAAGCCGTAGAAAAGCAATGAATCCATCAATCAATTTTAGTTGTTGCTGTTGTTGAAAGTCCTCAAGTGATGTTTGATACAGTTCTTTGTTTGTGATTGTGTGGCGCCAGTCTACAAGGTTCGAATAAGGATAGTCTTAGGTAAGGCCTACGTGATTTGTTCGCTCGCAGCTATTTGTAACTAGTGTGGTCCAAGGAAGCGATTGAATATAGCTGAAAGTTTAGATATTTCTGAACGAATTTCGCATCAAGCATGACATCTATATTGAAATCTCGACCTGATCAGACTATTTAAGGACATGGTTGTGTTTTTAGGTTAATGTTTCGCTCTAGGGCTAAACTACTCTTAACACAGCCGATCCTATATTCAAATTTCATTTGCTCTTATACTCGACTTGTCAAAACTGATCAACACACTGCTATATTTCAATTGTTTAATATTTAATAATTTCACATCCCGAATTTTTTTTATGATGAATTCTGGGTGTGTGCTTTCATTTATAGTTTCTTATATGTATAATATTATTTCTCTCTCTCTCTCTCTCTATATATATATATATATATATATATATATATATAAATATATATATACATATGTGTGTGAGAGTATATATATATATATATATATATATATATATATATATAATTTCGAATGATCTTACTATAGGAATGCATACAAAAACATAAAGAAAGTCTTTCCCATTACAGACTGAATAAAATTATTATGTTACAATTTAAAAGTATTACTAATGATTTTATCATAGGAATGCACTGAAAATCAGGATGAAAAGGATTGTCAGTGGTCAGGAATACAGTCAGTTATGTGTCATGCGTGAGACACGGTTCCCGATACATGGCGGCCGAGGTAGATGTTTTCCCGCAGTAGGTTGCTATTTTTTTCTGTGGTAGACTCGTTGCCATCCAAGGCTTGCTATCTACACATAGCTGGGCGGAAAAGAAGAGAATTCATACTTTTCCCAAGGGTATTAGCACGTAAGTGAATGTAATAGATTCGACTGGAATTCGAACTCGGCTCTGCGAGTCTGCAATCCGAGCTGCTATCCATTACTCCACCGTGCCTCCTAAGATTTAAAAGATCAATGAAACAATTACTGAGGGAATATGACTATTAAATGTTTCCTGAAAATTTATATTTCATTATAGGAATGCATTCATTGGAAACAAAGAAGATAGGTATTGTCAGTGGTCAGGAATTAACACAAACATTACTGAAAGAATAGGACTATTATATGTATAATGTAAATGCATTGCTAACGACTTTGTTAAAGGTATGTAATGAAAATAAGGAAGAAATTGATTGTCAGTGGTCAGGAATTAATATACTGACAGAATAAGGCCATTATATATATAACGTAAATGCATTACTAATGATTTTGCTATAGGAACACATTGAAAATAAGGAAGAAAGGGATTTTCAGTGGTCAGGAATAAATGCAAATGCTATTGAGAGAATGGGGCTATTATATGTTTAATGTAAACATATTACTAATAAGTTGACTGTTGTGCGTGCGTGATCGAAGGCATGAAACGTATGCTTTCCGACCACGAAACGCAGGTTCGAACCTCAACATGATCAATTTACGAAAAGCGTCTGGGAAGACGTTCCGAAGAAGTGCCTTAAAAGCATATCAGGGGATGAGGTGAAAATGCGTTGCCGAGATTTTCCTGAAGCTGTCGATTTTTGTACGAGTAAAAAGTCATCGTAACCAAGAGTTTGAGTGTATAGTCATTGCTGTCACTCAGCTTTTTCCAGGCAAAGGCACAAACCGAATTTCCTGAAAGACATCTTCTAAATTTAATAATTTTTCACCCAATACAAATCCCCAGAAAACAACTCAAGATAAAAGCTTAAAGACGTTGTTATACGGGCATAAGAAGTAGAATTAAGACCAGATTACGAGGATATATAGGATAGATAACGATTGACTGTAGACTTGGAGAGGTTAAAGTTTTAGGGATCAAAGAAGCATCACCTCAGGAGTCTTTTCCACAATGTAGTTGTTCTCGGGAAGAAGCCAGCATCTCTGGGAACAAGCATATATACACTTCCTTTTTTCTCTATCTGTTTGACCCGACAAATGGCTCACTACCTGGCCAGGAGTAGGGAAGAGGTGGGTATGAGATCTGAAAGATTTTTTCCTCTTTTGACAGGATTCCAACTTACCAAATATCGAGTTAGCCGATAATCTAGAACAGGGGTCGTCAACATTTTACAACATATCTTCGGAGCGGTCTGAGGTCAAGAATATACGATAATAAATTCTCTCGATCACAGACTGCTTCGTCCAGAAGACTGCCTTTGGTTTGGGGGTTTAAAGAAAAAATCAACTAAGTTAATTTCATATTATTTAAACAAAGTTACTTATTTTACTGCAGGTAAAACAGGATAACAGATAACACACACACACACACACACATACACACACAACAAAAAACAAACAAAAATAAAAATTCCTTACTACAAACGAAATAGAAATGACAAAATATTTAATGAGATACTTGTTACTGCTTATTCTTCGATAACTTCTTCACATCAGGGTAAATATTTGTCAATGACGATATTCAGTCCCCCCACGAGGGTGTCATGTGGCACAAGGCCTTTTTAACGTGGGCATTCCGAGCCCGTGGGCTCGGCCAAAAATATGCCCATTGAACCCGTATAAACGGGTTCAGGGCCGGTTTACCTCCTCGAAGGAGACTCCGCCCTTCGGCGTAGCCTCCTTCGGGTTCCTCCCGATCCGTAGGAAGAAAATATTTGTCAATGACAGGAGAAAAACATCACACAGGTGGTCATCACCCAACCTTGTTCTTAAACGTCTTAGATTTCATTTTCGAAAAAAAATGTTGACAAATATATGTACTTCCAAATAATGATACCATCATTTTCGCATTATTTAGTAGGCTACAAGAAATATCTTTTCCCGCTCGGAAAAAAAAAATTCTTAAAGAAGTCAGCAGTAGATTCAGAATGAAATTTTGGTTTAAAAAATTCCTCGCATTGTAAGTCTATAAACTCCAACAGATATTTCTTTCTGACATTTGCTCCACAATTAAATTAGATAATTGATGTCCAGGTATTAAGATGGCGGGCCGGACAAAAATCCTTCGCGGGTCGGATATGGGCGGGGGCAGGCGGTGGCTGACACCTAATCTAGAAAGTTTTTCTACACCTAAGTATAGAGTGCGATGGAAAAATTGCCGTATAGATTACGCAAAAATGAAAATAACACTGACACCTCATTTTAACAGATATACTTATCAAAATTACACAAAAATATCTTGAGATACCAATGAATAAATTTATTCAATAAAATCGCCATTGACATCAACCACGGCCTCTAGACAATTTCTGAATATCCTGCATCTCTTCTGGACGGCTTCCATGTTTAAGTTGGTGAATGCTGGTGAATGCCGCCATAATCCTTGTCTTCAGTTCATTTTTGGTGTTACAAGAAGTTTTATTGATTGAGGGTTATAGTCTGGGGAGTTAGGCGGCCGGATATAAGCGGTGATGTGGTCGCAGAAATTGTCTGTCATCCATGACCGGATTCTGAGTCCAGTTGCCAGATATAGGGCCTTCCAGCAGCCACCCTCTTGACCCAGGGCAACAGTACCTCCTCAAGGCACTGATATAGGCCCCCATATTGGGTTTGTGGCTATGTGAGAAGATGAATGGAGGCATAACGTCGCCATAACTAGTGATCACTCCAAAGATCTTCGTAATCACCATTAGACTCATCCAAATCTTTCCGAATCTTCTGCACTGTCCTCAAATTGGCACCTAAAAATTCTGAAATGTTCCTATTGTGGCTTTCGGCGCAAATGCCAAGCAGTATAGCATGGTGTTTTCAAATTTTTGGCGGGGTGAATTGCGTCATGGGGCTCATTTGTTGGTACTCAACTGACTATACTATCCTGTGCAGCCGACAAAATCAAAAACAAACAATGTACATGCGGGAAATTAAAAAAATAAAATGACGACAATTTACACATCGCACCCTGAACGTGGATGTTGGCTTTAATTCATCCATTTCACTTGTCTTGTTCTCCTGCCTTGTATTTAAGGAATAAAATAAATAATAATTTTGTAATGAAATGTCCCACACTCCCTATCGCCTATTGTGGACTGACTATATCAGTAAGTGTACACAGGATATACCTAGCGACTTGCTTCGGCAATTAGTTGGAGGTTCGTCTCCATCTGTGCTGGTCGAACTTTCTGTCTTCGGGCAGAAAGGAACCCAGACGAGGCTATACCGAAGGGCAGAGTCTCGTCTGGGGTGGTAGACAGCTACCCGATGCCGTTTTTACGGGGTTTAAGGTGAATCTTTGCCCGAGCCTACGGGCTCGGTTTTGCTCCGCATTAAAAAAAAGACCTCGTGCCACATCCTGCTTCGCGAGGAGGTAACGTAAATAACCTTGTCTCAGCAATGAAATGTCCTACTCTCCCTATTGCCTATTGTGGACTGACTATATCAGTAAGTGTGCACAGGATATACCAAGCGAATTGCTTCGGCAATTAGTTGGAGTGCTAGTCGAACTCTCTGTCTCCAAGCAGTGCTAGTCGAACTCTCTGCCTTCGGGCAGAGAGGAACCCAGACGAGGCTATACCTAAGGGCAGAGTCTCGTCTGGGGTGTTAGACAGCTACCCAACCCAGATTTTTAACGGGATCTATAGCGAATTTTTGCCCGAGCTTACGGGTTCGGTTTTGACCCCGCATTAAAAACGGCCTTGTGCCAGATCCTGCCTCGTGGGGACGTAAGATAATTATCCTTAATTCGGGAATTCTTAGCTTTCTAACAGATTCTCTGTCTTTCAGTAGTGTATTCTCTTTTACAATAAACTACTCTTTCTTTCATCTACGTCCGTGTTGCTGTTCCTTTCACTTGAGTACCATCTTTGTCTGTTTGTAACATCTTTAAGGATAGAACAAATAATATGGTTAGATTTTCCCTCGTTTTCCTTTTTAGTTATGAGACGACAGAACTTATGTTAAGTTAAAACTTAAGTTAGAATTCAACACGTCTGTAACACGTTTATTTACCATCTCTTAGTTGCGTCTCTGTCTTTGGGTAGAGTGCGCTCAGGGGCTTCTCTGTCGACGAACAGAGTCGCAACTGATGAAAATTATAAAGTGAAACAGCTGGGGAACAGCTGCCCGAGGCCGCGCCCTCTCATTGCTCTATAGAGAGGGGTCAGTATTCGCACCAAAGCCAGTGTAACCGACCGTTGCAGAGGCTCGGGGAGTTTTTGTTTCTAACCCGGGTGTACGTTCTCGGGCTTCCCACATTAATCAGACCTTGTGTCAGAACGTGACTCCGTCTCGAGTAAATACCAAATTATTATAAAGCAGAGCTGGGGCTTTTTAATTTCAGAAGTTGCAGGAGAATTGAGCTCCAATTTCGCATTTATTCATATAGATTCCATAATATGGGTTTAACTTAATTAGCTTTTGTTTCTCCAACTCTTCAGCTGTTGAAGACATAACTAATTCGAATTTCTCTTTTCCCATCTTTACCCTATATTTATTTTATCTTATAAATTGTCTCCTGTCACGCATGAAATAAATATAATTGTTTGTACGGAAAATAAGGATCTACGTACATCAAATCGTCTTTAAATTAAGTGGCAGCAGAAGAATTATCGTTGAACTTTTAAAAGGTAAGCTTAAACATTAATTCAATGTTTAAATGCAACGACCAATTTTAAGTTCTGTAGTTTATTGTTGCTTATCACATCTACTCCTCCCTAGCTATTGTGATGATGGCCAAACCAAGAGTGCTTCACAGTATATTTAAAGCTCAAGCAGAAATGTAGCTAACAACCTTGGTAACTGCTTGCATCACTTCCGGAAGTTCCTTTAGGGCAGCTTTTGCACACAAAGCCTCCTCATGTATGATACAATGAAAACCTATCAGTTGATGACCAACATCTTTTGCAAACAGATTTACAAATCCTGCCTTCTTGCCAGTCATTCTAGGGACCCCATCTGATATGGCAGATGCTACTTTTGAAATGTGAATTTGGCGAGTAGATCATTCCTTTCACAATTGCTTTACATATTAGTACGCTTAGGTAGGGTTACAAAGGCATCCATTTTTTTTACATACTTCATTACCCCTACAAAATCGAGAAAATATAGCTAGCCTAGCTGATCATGTAATGTCCGTACTTTCATCAACACAAATAGGAAAAAAAAATTTACAAGAAGACAAATCTTTTGCCAATTGTTCAGCTGTCATCCTTACCGGATTAAGCATCATATCCTTAAATGTTTTCCAACTCACAAACAAATCGTTAATCCGCTGAATCATCTTTTTCTTTTCTGAATAATTGTCCCACATTCTAGCCAGGCTTCTTTAATATAATATCCTTCACTGAGTGATTTTCCATGTTGGGCAATAACTTTTGAAACCTCCAAGCTAGCAGGAACTAAGTTGAAATTGGCCTAACTGAAATAAATTTCATAAAAGTATTAGCTTGTTTTTTGTCTTGCTGAGTTCACGAGAAATTAATTCTATTTGTTCCGCCTTAGATTTTGTTTTCAATCGATTCATCCCAAGCAAGGCGGGAAGCCACTAGTACGCAAGGCGTTATAGAAGATTTAGAGCGAGAGCAGATAGGAGTGATAGAGGAAAGGATGAGGAGAAGGATAGTGGATAGATCAAGGTAACTGGAGATGTCGATTGACATTACATTTGAATAGTTGGAGATTATAACTCTCAGGGAAACTAGAATAGGGAAGGGGGTTCCACAGGCGAGAGGTGCGAGGTATGAAGCTATTGGAGTAGAAGAGACGGCTACATTTAATAGTTTCGACAGTGAAAGGGTGAGAGCGGGATGCTAGCCTCGTAGGGCGCTTGAATTCATGAAGTCTGGGAACCAGCGAATGCAGCTCCTCGGAGCAATTACCATGAAAGTATTTGTTAAAAAGACAGAGAGAGGCGACGGCGCGTCTGTGAGAAAGTGACTGTAGACGAGATGCCAGAACAGGGCCAATTATATTACATATCCGCCTCTGGATCTTATCAAGAACCTTGAGACAAATAGTAGTGGCACCAGACCATATATGGCAGCAATACTCCATGCAAAGGCGAATGGTTGATTTGTAGATCTGGAGGATCGATTCCGGGGAGAAAAATTTCCTGGCGCGGCACAGGGCGCCAACTTTCCTTGCGGTGGACGAAGCTATTGACTCAATGTATTTGTTCCATCTCAGGTCAGTGAGACCGATCAGCCGCCGAGAGATGCTCTCGAGAAGTTGAGCGTCAGATATTCTAATGGAGGGCAGGGAAGTATCTCTGTGGTGATTGCTTAAATTCTCATGAATACCTTCAAAATGTCTCTTTACAGAAGTCCTACAAACGACTGTTTCGGAACAGAAAATGCATAAGGCTTTATTGTCTTTTTTATTCATGCAAACTTTTTCAGCCCAGTATTCTTTAAATTCTCTAATAGACTCTTCATGTGAATGGCATCATTTCTTAGCTGATGATCGTGGCATTTAGCACAATGTGTAAAGGACAGAAAATAAAAATACATGAGACAATGATGAACATGAAAGAGGAGAAAGAATAAAAGTAAGTCAAAAAGGGAATTTAATGAATAAGTTTCGCGTGCCAGAAACAAGTAATTGGCGTGCCATTTTTCTGACTGTCTTTCTGTCTGTCTGTTTTCAACAAAAATGGATTAATACTATACACAAATACAATGGTTAAACATCGGAAAACATAAGGAAAATTAATTCCTTTTAATAATATGTGCAAATAACTACTCTTTGCCTGATGAAGGTCGCAAGACCGGAAACGTGTGTAGCAAAAGTATGGGAAAAAATGTGCAATATATATTTAACAAATCTAAATTGTAACCAAATATGTTTACAGCTTCTCCCTTCTCTTTAAAATATACATTTTTCTCTCATGGGAACAACTATAACTTCTCCCTTATCTATCTATCTATCTATCTATCTCTCTCTCTCTCTCTCTCTATATATATATATATATATATATATATATATATATATATATTCATTCTCTCTTAACTCACTTTCTCTTTTCTCATCGATCTATCTCTTTCTCTCTCTCTCCCCCTATATATATATATATATATATATATATATATATATATATATATATATAAAGAGAGAGAGAGAGATCGAAGAGAAAGAGAGAAAGTGAGTGAAAAAGAACGAATGAGATAAAGAAGAAAAGTCATAGTGACCGAGAGAGTAAAAACAGAAAAGAAAAAGTAAGAAAGAGAGCTAGAAGATAGATAAATGTGAAAGAGTGTTAGATAATGAGCTAGAAAAATGGGAGAGAAAAAAGAGAGATATCTAGGCAAAGAGAGAGAGAGAGAGAGAGAGAGAGAGGGGGAGAGAGAGAGGGAGAGAGAGAGAGGGAGAGAGAGAGAGAGAAACATTGTAAAGGCAGACAGTGCACTCTCAAGAGAGATTTTTTTTCGGTTGGATATCATAAACGCTCCAAGACAATTATATATACCTGGATATATTTGACATGTTTTGAAGCATCACGAACTTAATTAATTCTTCTGCTTACACCTCGTTCAAATCGATTAGTTCGATCTTTATCAGTTAAATTAATTAACATCGATGCTTATTGCCGTTTTCGATTATGCCACACGTAGGCATAAATGGGTTTATCTGCAAAATCGCCTGGCATAGAAAGCCGGTGGGGAAAGTCTCTGTTTTGTTCGTTCCTTCTTTTTTTCAATTGTTTTTCTAGTTTCCATCTATCTATCTATCTATCTATCTATCTATCTATCTATCTATCTATCTATCTATCTCAGCCTGTTAATGCTTATCTATCTATCTATCTATCTATCTATCTATCTATCTAGCGTGTTCTCATCTCGTTTACGCACCACCTTCTCTTTCGCTTTATGCGTGACTCTGTAATTTCTTTCTTTCTTTCTTTCTTTCTTTTTGTTTATCTTTCCATTTTCTTTCGTTTTTTGTTTCTGTTTTTCCTTTTCATTCTTTTTTCTTTCTTTCTTCTTTCTTGCATTCTGTTTCTCTGTCATTATAATTTCTTTCTTTCTTTCTTTCTTACTTTCTTTCTTCTTGTTTCATTTTGTGTCCATATCTTTTTTCTTTCTTTCTTTTTTTCTTTCTTTCTTTCTTTCTTTCTGTTGCATTTTGTTTCTCTATATCTTTCTTTCTTTCATTCATTCAGTCTTTCTTTTTCTATTTCACTTTGAGTTTATTTTCTTTCTTTCTTATGGTTTCTTTTCGTTCTTCTATCTTTCTATTTCTTTTCCTTTCTTTCTTTCTTTCTTTCTTTCTTTGTTTTTCTATCTTTTCCACTTCTTTCTTTCTTTCTTTCTTTCTTTCTTTTTTTCTCTTTTCGTTTTCTTTCGTTTGCACATTATTTTCTCTTTTTCTTCCTTTTTATTGTCCTTGAATATTTCTCTGTTTTAACTGTGAACCTCTTTCTTTCTCTTTTTTTCCACTATCCAACTCAAATCGCGTTTTCCATAAAAATAAAAAAAAACCCTCAAAAAACAAACACAAAGTCCAGACATGTTGCAAATCCTCAGACGAGTAAAGTATTTGTCTGTCATTTTTCTCATGATATCCTGTTTCCAACTACAATTATCGGAGAAAGACATCTCTTAATTCATAAGTGTATGTAGCCCTCACGAGGCACATACTTAAACTGTAACTAAGATTCACTCAGCATAGTCGCAGTATGAGCCACAGGTTGGCTGTGTTCGTGTTGAAAAACACAAATGGGTCTGATAAGATGGGCTTCTTGAAAATGAGTAGCCGTACTGAAGATGAGAAATAGCATATTATTATCAATCGAAACATCTTTGATGGCCATTCAGTTTCTACGATCATAATAATAACGCGGTTTTGTTTCGTTTCTGTTTTTTTTTATGTGGATAATTGAAAGAACTAGACTGGAATTTTGTACTGAGTCAGTATTCAAGATAGGGAGAAAATCCGCTCATAAAAAAGCTTTTTTTTTTCCATCTGAAATCAAATAGGAACCCCCGTCGCCAGCAAGAAAAAAAAATGAAACCTAACTGTTGTGGTAGGATCCACCTAATTTGCATAGTGGAGTACCGACCATATAAATATGGTTGGTACCGGGAAGACTGGGGAGAGGAATCAAGAGATTCAATCCAGAGAGTCTGCCCGACTGCGACTAAGTCAACACTTTCTCCAGGAACGGTCTTACCAGGAATATACAAAAGACTATATGTAAATATTGTGTACACTTTCTTGTTTCAATACATTTTGTTCTAAGTACATTTTGTGTTGTATTATTATTCCATGCATTAGTCAAGTTTCAACACAACCCAGCCACCAAACAAAACTTCCCACAAAAATAATTACCAAGAGAAATAAAACATGGAAATTGTATTGTCTCTATTTCCCAAATGAAAAACGTTTTAAAATGTCATTTGACCCTAAGCAAGGCAATAAAGCCACTAAAACGCATGTGGTTACTGTTAGTGAAAGAAACTGAGAAGAAAGCACAATGAAAAGAAGATTCAAAGAGACAGAAGACGACTGACATTGCATTTAAACTTTTGTAGATCGTAGTTGACAGGAAAGCAAGAAGATGGAAGAGTGTTCCACAGGCGAGAAGTGCGAAGGAAGAAACTGTTAAAATAGAACTTACGGTTACATTATCCAATTTCAGCAGTTAAACGATAAGACCAAGATGCCAATCTAATATTGCACTTAAATTCAAGAATTTGAGGTGTCAACGAGGAAAGCTCATCAGAAAAACTGCCATGGAAATATTATTAAAAAAAAAAGTACAAGGAAGCTACGTTACGTTATTGAATCTGAGATGTCAGGTCAGAACCTATAACATTGCAGCTTCTTGTCCCCTATTTTGAAAATCAGTATTCTACTTCAATTTTATATCTTACTTAGTTTAGTTCTTTCGGAATGTAGGCGATTACTTCACAACTTTCTGTGTTATGTTGCTCTATTATGTTTTTAACTTTTGCTCTACGTCATTGTCCGTATTCTGCCATTGAGACAAACCTGTTAACTAGGCTACTCGTTATTTTCCCCTACTTCTCTTTCCTTTAATAGGTACTGTGAGTTTTATATTTTCTAGGTCTTCTTTCCTCATTATGTGCTGTAACCTAGAAAGGGTTACTGAATGAGGAATAATCAAAACAGAGTTTGGAAATGAAATGGTAATCTTTATAAAATCAACAAAATATGCTACTCGCCAACGGCGTGAAGAAGGTAAACCACTTCTAGTGCTAGACTACTTACACAACATATTACCTATACTTACAATAGTGTCCAACGTATTTATGAGGATTGGGACATACCCATTAGTGTTCATAGGTACGCTATATAACACTATCTATCTATCTATCTATCTATCTATCTATCTATCTATCTATCTATCTATCTGTTGTAACGTAGAAAGGGTTCCTGAATGAGGAAAAACCAAAACGGAAGTTGGAAGTGAAATGGTAATCTTTATAACATAAACAAAATACAATACTCGCCAGCGGCGTGAAGTAGGTAAACCACTGCTAGTGGTGAACTACTTAGACACCATGTTTTCCCCACTTGCAATAGTGTCCATCGTATTCATAAAGATTGGGACATACCATTAGTGTTCATAGGTACGCTATATAACATTATGTATCCAATAAATTTCAGCAGTCACTTTCTGATTGTAAGTCTAATATTTTTCGCAGTTCCTATTTTACTTACGGCTTACTCTAAGTAATCAATAATGAGTTACAATTTAACAAACATAATAGCTACAAATAACCGCATTCAGATCCGCAATTATTTCTACTCCATATTTTAAATGATAATCTCGGACTATTATTTTTTTAGTGGCAGTGTATTTGGCGCAGACCTTCTGAGGCTGACCTTAAGGTCAGATGGTAGACAAAATAGGGATGTCGATTTTTATTGGCTGAGTTGAATGTGAGAATATTACAGAGATAGAAAGTGTTTTCAGCGAGTTTAGTTTTACACGTCATACACAAGAGACGTAGTTATCTCGTGTCTCGGGTAACTTGATCCCCAGTGGGGATGATAGAGCGACCCCACTAGCTAGTTAAAAATGTACACGTCGTCGTGTTTAATAAAATAGATAAGTTTTCAAATTCCCTTTGTTGATCTCTCATTTATCTTCGAACCCGAAAACATTTCGACACCCGGCCAGAAGATAACAGAAAGAAGAATGGTGCAGTGAAAAGACCTCCCCACAATAGAGGAGGTATACAAGAAATAGACTTTCGAATAATTTGAAATATACCCGTTGCTGATTACTCAATAAGCGTTACAATAATACAATACACCAGAAATACCTTTCTACCCATAAAGCACAATTGTCCAGCATATATATATAGTCGCGTCAGCATAAAATATACATGGCCTGAAGATTGCGGTCAAGCATGGAAGAGACTGTCGTATCTTGGTGTTGACCTCAGTGTTTCATTGTATATTTACATAATAGGAGTAGATAGGTTCGCCTATCGCCCGTTTCACACTCTTCCCTTCTCTTTTGACTAGGAGTAGAGATTTATCCCTTGTTTCTTGTTTAGAATTATTTTACGGTTCCTTGTAAAGTTTGCTTTAGCTATATACTCCTAATGTCTGCGGCTGAACACTGACATTTTATTCACTAATTATTTTATATTACTTTTTGTTTATTTTCTATCCTTCACCAATAGGAGTAGATAGATCCGCCTATTGTCCGGTTCACACTCCTTCCCAGTTTTTGCAATAGGTGTAGAGGTTTATACATGGTTTCCTGTTTAGGATTGGGTATCCGGTTCATTCTAAAGTCTACTTCAACTCTATACTCCTAACACTTGTCCTTACTTACGCTAATACAGCTCCACATAGTAAAGTTCTACCTTCTACCTTGAATAGCTCTTAGGCTTTGTATTGGGTGAGCATTAGTAAAAAAAAAACAGTTTTGCCCGGAGAACGTTACAGCCCAAAAAGGTATTCTAAATATATATATATATATATATATATATATATATATATATATATGTACGTATGTACATGATACAACAACATATAATTTCTGTATAATTTTATATATCAACAGTCTTTAGATAAATATTAAAAACTGGAAAGTTTTTTTTATGCCTTGTTTATAAATATATAAAAGAAAGTAAATTATTTTATATATCCTACATAGGTAAAAATATAGGTAAGAGAAGTTGAAAATGCAATAGGATTCTTTAAGAATGTTTATTTTGAGTAACTTTACGGGTTTTATGGCATAAAGTCTCGTATCTGCCACACACTCCAGTTGCATAAACTTCTTTTTCATATATATATATATATATATATATATATATATATATATTCGGCTAGGTATTCATATGCTGGTAAGATGGTAGGTGCAAATAATAAACCCCCATTCTTGTTGTTTTAAATTTATTAATATCAGCTCAGTTCAAGGGCCTCGATGTCCCTTGCAATACCTTTCCACGAGAGAGGGCCATGGTTATTATTTGAGGGTTGAGGCCTCTCCAAAATAGGAACTCCCGAGGACAATGGAGAAATTGTTCTGCCCAGACAATGGGCGTGGCTGGCTCCTACTTAGACTCGACTTTGTGTGCGAAGGGGCACCGATAAATCCTAATAATAAAATCGTGTTGATTCGATGTGATTGTTTTACATATTATTTTCAACCGTACAGACACACAGAGAATCAAAGAACTTTATATATAGACAGTTTAATTTTCAATGTTAGCAGCAGACACTCATACAGACTTTGAGTTTTAGAAATTAGAAGTATTTGTTTTTTATATCTTTGCGCAAATGATGGGTTAGGCCATTCCTGGTTTGAAACCCTACGCCCGATAATTCAATATAAATAAAATCTAGTCGAATCTTGAATATATAGTCTCTCATGTATGCACAAAGGACATGGGTCATTTAATGACCTACATATTATAGCTTTTCTTATTAATTTCCATTTCACTGTAGGTGTTTTATTGGTTTATTTTAAGTGCCAGAAATATTTCGATAGGGACGTCTGATTTCGGTATTTATTTATCCTAAAAGAACTTTGATGTTGGTTGAACCGTTTCTTGAACTCATGTCTTGTGCATCCAATGTAGACTTTTACGTTGTTTGGATCCTCAATAGATGAGATAATGCACTGGTATACTAAGGATTCAGTACGACATTTATTATTAAGTGGACAGTTATGAGAATTTCCGCAGTTACATAATTTTTGTTTATCTTCATCTCTTTTTATTATTATACTGTCTAAATTTCTTTGGTCTTGGTCTAAGTGTTTATTCAAGATATTAACATTATGTTTCTCAATAATTTTTTTCTAAGTTTTCAGTACAACTGTAACATAATTTTAGGTTATTTTTATTGAAAATAGTACTGAGTTTACTATCTTTAGAAAAAAGTTTAACGATTAATGCAAGAAATTTTTGTCATAATTTGTTCTTTGCCATTTGGTTTTATGGGGTGTATGCCAAATCATTTTTCTACTTCTCTATGCTTTCCATTTTCATTTTTTATGTAAGTTAGCTTTGGACTTTTGTAGCCACTATCTTTTAGAGCTTTATTATAGAAATTAATATGTTCATAGAAAATCTTCTCAATGTCTGAATTTGTACTAATTCTCTTTTCATTTTCAAAACGAGATAAACAATGAAGGAACGGTGATGCTTTTTTTACTGTTAAAACCGTAAACTTCATTTTTGTTTGGTAAGTCACACCGTCGAATATATATATATATATATATATATAACACTTTCAAAGTAAAACAAAATAACAGCGTCTGTTTCTAGTTTTTTTTTTTTTTTACAAAGAAAATTAGTGACAACTTCTCTCATAACTTCCTTCTCTCTTTTTCTCTCTATGGGTTTTTTCTTCTCTACCCCTTCGATATCAATATATAACTTCCGTTAAGTTAACCGTTTAAATGTGCCAATATCTGCTAACTCACTCATGTCTTCTCTCTCTCCCCCCCTCACTTCCTCACTTCGTTAATTTACATATGTTTAATACGGCCCGTCAAAAATATGTAAATTTTCTTTTCATTTTTTGTTTGGAAGTAAAGTCTGATGATCCGCAGTCCTTTTAAAAGGGCTGTGGTGAAATAATTTATTACATGGAACCTTAAAGTGGTCTGTTTTTATTTAAATTATTTGCTCTGGATTTACATTGAGCTCTCTGGATTTTATACTCCTTAGGTTTACCCATACGGATTACCTAGTTTTTCATAAACTATATATATATATATATATATATATATATATATATATATATATGATAGTAAGACATTTTGTCCCAATCTTTCTCCCTTATTTGATAGTTTAGTAAGAAACCCTGATTCTAAAGAAAAATCAGGAAAAATGGAAAATTAAATGTCTTTGGCTAGATGCGATAATAAATCCGGATACCTTATTTTCTTCAATTTCTTTTTAGAATAGACAATGGGACTTATACTAAGTTAAAACTTAATGTTGTGATAGGGTATATCCAAGTGTCAACCAGGACTCTTTGCCTGTTACCTTCACCCCTATCCTTCCCTCTGTTTTTGTCGTCCTTGTTTGTGTTATATGTAATAGGAGTAGGTAGTCTCTTTTACCGCCCGGTCAACACTCCCCCCTTCTCTTGGACATGAGTAGAGGCTTACGCCTTGTTTCTTGTCTAGGAAGGGGTTCCCGGTACTCTTTCTCTCTCCGGCCTCTGTATTAGTGCAGCTCTGTTTCTCCCGTGATGTGTGTGTCTGTCTGCATCACCTCTTCATTCTGAGGGTACACGGTTGACAGTTCTCTGGTTGCTGTTTCCGACTGGTAGTTAGGAGCCCTAACTCTTGCGTAGCGTCTTGAGCGGCTGCTCTGATCAACAGTTGTATAATACCGGGGTGTTTGTAGTGCCATGTCGCGCATGGAAAGGTGTCCCTGCAGTCACCTCCGGTGGGCAGCCCTGAGGCCACATTATGATACAGGTTGTGCCAACTTCTCTCTGCCCACGTCACGGTCGAAACTGTCTGTTTCTTTTACTTCGGGCCTTCTCATCTTACAAACAAAATTCCACATGACTTACAAAGACCGAAAAAGTAACCCTAAACCAGCCACTCATAAATCACCTAAACCCCTCAACATTTCGTTCTCCAACATCTGTGTCATTAGGACAAACTTCTGCATTATGGAATCTTTCCTCACTGCAAACTGCCCGGATATACTGGCTCTCTGTGAGACCAACCTTGTCTCGTCTATCCCCTCTTCTGATCTCTCGATCCCCGGCTATCTTCCTCTCCTCAGAAAAGACTCTCTAACCCACATGCACGGTCTTGGTGTCTACGTCAAGGAACATCTCTCTCTGGCCAGAGAGTTCTCTCTCGAAACGCCAGACCATTCGTACATTTGTCTCCTCAATGCGGTAAGCTATCTCTTCTTCCTTTACCGCTC